CAGGGAATCGGAGTGGAAGTTTATTGTTGTCAAAGCATGCAAAAAAGACTTTGCCCATCGGGATGAAACATCCGTACCATGTCTATGTATAAATAACTGCATAATGGAAATACTTAAACAGGCCACCTGTATTTTATGGTTTGTGCAGCCACTGGAGATGTTACAGCTATATACACAAAGAGAGCAACTTCAACACAAACGTATAATTGCTTGATGATTTAATTTCCAGCGAGGTCGATTAACTATATGAACATAGCCAGTTGATTGTGATGCCAACAAATCCCAGGCCTGATTTCTGTGAGGCAGGAAACATGGATATTAAATATTTCAAACCACTAAACCTTGGCAACAGCTTGTAGGTTCCAGGAAGATGTTATCACTTTGCCATTTCAAGTCTCAATGCAACAAAGAAAATCTTGATAAAGTTGGAGAGCGAAAATCATTTCTATAATAAAACAAATAAGAGTTGTGTAAATTTCATTAATCATTTCTTAAATCATGCCCTGAATATTGGACTAAGTTCGCAGTTATCTATTCAGTATATTCTGTTTTTGGAATCAGGCCATGAACTGGATATGCTGGAACTTTGCCACTTTATAACTAGTAAAGTGAGATTTAAATGCATTTCTTTTCATCTCTACAATGGACCTCCACCCTTTGTTCAAATCACTGCTATACAATGGTGGAATTTCCAAAACGTGAGGCAATTATTGCTTTGATTTTGAATGACTGCCAAATAAAACACAACAAAACTGGAAGTTTCAGCCTAAGATGACAGTATTTCCACAGTAAATGGCTCAGCCTGATTGATAGGTCAAGAAGCTCGAACATCAGGAGAACTCAGGATAAGACTTTAAGTATCTACTGAGGTGGTTTACACATTGTATTAGGTTGCCTTTGAGTCACATAACATTGGAGGTTTGTAAGGAATATTCAATCGGGAGGAGGACTTGGGGCCGCCCAATAACACACAAAAGAAACCGCATATCCCATCTGGCCTGTGTTAGTTCCTGGAGTTTTCCTTTGGAGATATGTACTGGAATCTGTCATGGACCTGAATGAAAACCTATTGAAAACTGACTTCTGGAAAAATGCAACTAAATGAACAATGAAGTCAATCTAAGACACGCATCCATTTGTATACCTGTTTAATCCCATTCACAAGGATTCAGGATTCTATCCCAACTCTCATTGGACAAGAGGTGGAGTTACCAGCCCATCACAGGGCCACACAACCATCACCAACACCCCACATTCATTTCATGTGTTTGGATGGTGTAAGGAAGCCATGGAGGGAGCCTTCAGTAGCTTCACACACATGAGAAGACCATACAAACGTACAAACAGAGAAGTCCAGAAGAGATTTGGATGGTGCTAAGCAGTATGTAGCCCCAATCAAGAAGCATGTAACAGTGATATGTAAAAAGTGGCATTATGAAAAGAAAGCTACAAAATGATCTTGAAATACATTATGTAAAAAAAAAAAAAGAATAACCTTGGTTGCATACTTGCACCTAATTATTAGTGTAGATACAAATAATGTGTGTACACGAAAAGTTTTTACTGCGCTTTTAGGACCACATTGTTACAGCATAAATTGATCACGTTTTATAATCATTGATGTTCATTTAAATATATGTTAGAAATTTTAAAGTTAAAGTAATTTAACAACAAAATATTATTGCCTTTTAGGTATGCTTGGGCTATTTTGTTCCCCACAACGACCAAACAGGAAATTCCTTGCTTTGAAGAAGCCTAAGCAAAATATAAAAGGAGGTGGGTCACCTGCATCACAAAAGCAACCAAACACAGGAGTTTTTGTTTGCTTTGCCCTTTAATGGAGAAAAAAGGCTGTCTTCCCACTACTGTCCTTTGCTTGATGATTTATTATCACACAAACCTACAGTGTCAGCAGAGCCAACAGTCTCTACTTGCAAACTTCCAGCATCTATTGGTATGATACAAGCAAGAGTAAATCCTATTATCCACTGATTCCTGACTGCTTCTTTTTATCCACTACTGAAACACTGGGAGGAAGGAGGGAATGTTCTTGGTTAAAGAATTCGTCAAGTAGACAGTGTGTTAGTTAGTTTTTTTAAACAATGTATTTTTTTAAACAATGTATTCTTTTGTTTTGTTTTTTGTTTTTTTACATATTGTGTTTTTGTTCAGCATTTCAATTGTAAATATTGTCTTCCAATGAATGAGTCAGTGATTGTATCTTACCCTTGCAATCAAAACTGGGCGTACCAGTGTGTTTGTTATGCATAAAGTTTTATGAGGATTCGTCACCTTCAGTGTTCAAGCTATACAATTGTTTTTTTGTTTTTACTATTCAATTTGTATATAGGCAATGGATACTACAGGCAATGCTGTGAGGTCTGGGCTGTGGGAACTCAGGACTGGTATTGCAGGAATGTATTACACAGTGCAGACTATTTTTCTCAAAATATAACATACTGCTTACTATTTCCCAGTATAAGCTTGAAAAATGCTATTACTACATGAAATGTTGTAGGAGAGAATTTGTATTTGTCGTCCATCTTTGACAATAGCACGTCTAATCAAAAAGGCCAAATTGCCAAATGATGTTCAAAATGTACGCAGCACAATTGTTTCTCTAGTCCTTGCAGTTTCTTTGCATTTTAGATTCTGCATATCTTGTGTCAGCAGCTACAACTAGTTGAGATGAGAAGTTTAAAGTATACAAGTTAATGTAAATGTTAGAAAAGTACAGAAAGTTCCCAAGATGTCCATGGCGTTGGGTCAGGTGCTTTCCCATGGGAGACTTTACAAACCTTGTACATGTTGGATAAGTATAAATATACTTGAGCATTTTCATGATAATAGTTTGCTGTTTAACATGTTTTATTGGTAAAAAAAAATGGGGAAAAAACTGTATTTATAATTGTGTCCAAAGCAACACACCTGCTTTTTTTTTTTTACTGGCATTGAGGACAAACAACAGACAAGTTTCAAAAGCCAGGAACACCATGTTCAAGTTGCTCTGTGTGAGTGAGTTTGATTATGCTCCACAGTAATGCAAGAAAGAGAATGGAAATGCGTATTAGAGATGCAGATCACATGTAGAGAAAAGAAAAAAATAATTATGAGGAGTCATTTTTTTATGTTTTCATATCTGGTATCGGTAAGGTTCAAACTCTACAAAGTGGCTAAGCAATAGTTTATGAATATACTGCATGTGGGAAAGTCTCACCTGCAACAGAAACGTTCCAGGAAGACTCCATCAAGAGGAATCCCCTCTTAGACAAAGGGACCGATGGTGTTCATCTGAACACTTTACATGAAGAAGATAACTGGGTTAAACTTTATGAGCTCCAGTAAGTAAGAATCCGCAAATAACCAACATTTTGTGTTTAGAGATGTTTAATCAGTTCTGTGTACAAACTGGCATGCCATAGATCTCAGTCCATGTGTAAACTTTTGGTTTTAACCAACTGTCCTGTTCACAACTTGATGACTCTCATTGTAGGCTTTTTACTACATTATGAGGCACCAAGCAAAACTTAACAAGCAAAAAGAATTTGGAGTACACATCCAATTAAAAATGGATAAATAAGAGAGTGCACAGGGGGAAGGGACACATGTAGATTGAAATTAATGGAAAATATTAGTTTTGGGTTCTGAAATTACTAATTGGAGCAGACCTTTTTATGAAAATATGATTTAAGTGCATTTGTGGATTATAAAGATGCAGTCACTAAAACGTAACAACAAAATATGAATACATAAATGAATAAAATGAATGGAAACATGTTTAAAAGTGTTCACAAACTGCAACACGGGCATGAATGTGCGGTTTATATGAAATGGTGTGTTAGTGGCTTTCAGTGTTGAGTGCCTTGTTTTGAAGTGACTGGATCGATACAGGGGAGTGAATTGCCAATTTTAGTTTGTTCTATTGAAATTGACCAGCGCTGCATTCTAGAGGTGGAGCACCTGGAATTGGTGATGGCAGAGTGGAATTGGATTTGTACTGAGAGAGGAAGATTGAAGAGTTAGCAATATGACCACAGAGGAACTTGAAAACCTACATCTCCACTTAAAAACAAAACAACAACAAAAATCACATTTCAACAGTTTTTTTTTTCATTGTTATCCCTGTGATTTTCAATCGAGGCAACAGCAAGTGATGTAAGTTCTACTGTCCCAATTTGTCTGACTCTTAATTTCAAACACACATCTTATTCTATCTATCTCAAAAGCTCTTGGTTGAAAGATCATTGTCTATAGATAGTGAAAAGCTCATGCAGTTGTTCACTTATTATAAAGACATAATGGACCGAAGCCTCCACCAGTCCATATTTGTTGGAGCAAGATAAGGTTGAGTGGCACAATATCATAATAGCTTGATGATTATGATGATGATACATATGATATATATTATCCAGGAGCCATGACATCCCTTTGATTGTACAGTTTGTCCTGTTTCTTTACCAAAGGACATCTGATGATGAAGTATTTAATACTACAGTGTGACTCTAATGTAAAAATAGAAACCTTTCAGTCTGATCACTGGATTGATTATTAGTGTTTATTATGTATTCTAACATTTTTCTTTTCAACTTCCTTTTCATGCTAAAATTCAAGAGACATTTTAAGCCACATTCAAATAAGTACTGCCAAGTGAGTGGAGAGCATTTGCCCAAGAGTATTCATTACCAAGAGGTAGTGATGTGGTCACAGTGGGTTAAAGATTACACATGGAGAAACACAGCTCACATGAAACAACCAAATTACCCAGTCATCATTAGGGAAATTATCAGCTAATCATACTTCCGTGTAAATGCACACACGCTCTCAACCATATACTGGGTATATGGCTGAAAGTAGAATTAAAAAACGGAATTGATTATAACAAGCTGATATGGGGAATTTTGATTACTGTTTTTTTTCCCTGCTCTGTAGATGGTTATCTGACTTTCTATGGCTTTGGGGTCATGTTGAGGCTACGAAACACACACATGCACTCACACACAAACGTGTACACGCAAACTTGTAAGGAACTGGTAACACCCTCCAATCACAACATATCCTGTGGTTTAAAAGGTGCCATCTACGGTCAGGTCAAGGTTCCCCTTACTCTCTGTACTCTGGAGAGAGTCAAGGTAAGACTGCAGCTGCTGGCTGTTAAGCTTTTCCTTTTGAAATGTGGGTGAATCAAGGCATTTGCTAATGACATGGATTGGTTTGCATTATGATGTACATTTGTGATGTTTTATTAACCTCATGATGCCAAACAACTACTTTCATTCTAGACAGATATAAGAATGTAAGAGTTGGAGCTGCAAGTGGCAAATTTGAGTAAATATTGCACAAGAAAACATTATTTTTATGGATGCAGAACTATGACAGCTTTTTGTTCTCTTGAGTTACGCAGTACCGGCAATTTGTGATTAAGTTAATGATAGGGGCAACTATGTGGGGGCATTTATTCTTTGTTGGTGTTATTCATGTTTACAGCCAATGCCAGTCCCTGTTAGGCTGACGTTGACTTTTTAGAATAGTGTATCTAAAGGTAACCATGAATATCAAGTAACATTATTAAACCTCTTTTGATCATAGGAACAGCAACTGCAAAGTAGAGTGTGTTGTTGAGGGTCTGTGTGTGTGTATATCGGAATGCGTCTGAGTGGGGAGAGCAAAACGACAGGCTGTGTGGAAGCTATTTTGGGGCAAGTAGAGAGAGCTAAAAGAAGAGTAGTAAGTCTGCATGGGTGTGATCTGTAATGTCGCTTGTGAGTCTGTCGTGTGAGTCTGTATTCTTGTGTTACAGTGCATGTTAGGTGCTTTTCAGTGTTTCTCTATAATGCACAATTGATTGCAAGCACACAGGGGGATGCACGCTCTTGGCTCTCCATTGCTCTCTATGCCCTTGCCTGTTTTTCACAGCACATTAAACAAGATGGTTCTAGAGCTTACAAACATCCAAATAGACACCCACACATGAAGACAGATATTCACCTTGTTTTTGTCTGGCAACAGCACGCTGTGTGAGATTTAATTGTGTGGGTGATATGATAGGTATCTTTGCAAAGTGCTGCGTCCCCATTCTTTTGATTTCTGAGTTGCTACCGCATTAATCAGACACAAGTTTCCTGTTTTTATGCTATCCTTTTAAACATAGCTTACATCAAAACGGATGTAGGAACTCAGTGGCATAGCCTTTAGTAAGCCTGAATAATGTGAACGACGTTGGCATTTCAAATCACTTTCATGTACATATCGGTGTTTGTCTGTATGATAGATGGGGAAAAGGCGATTCTCCGGTTTGGAAATCACCCTCCTGGTCCTGTTCATTTTGATGACTGTGACGGCCCTTGCCTTGATAATTCTGTTTGTCACTGGAGAGCCTGGTATCCTTAAAGACGGTAGGTGAAGAACCACAATAAAACATGCAAACATATCGGAACTTTGAGCAATACAGAAGCATAACATACAGTTTGTTCATTTATTGAAAATAGTATTCAGAATATATATTCATGACATCAAGATAACATTTTTATCATTTCTTATCATCATTCCTAACAAAGGCACACAGAATGTGTTTGTCGTTGCTATAAAACAAAAATTGTTTCTAATTATTTTTCTAATTACAGTATGTGAAAAAAACGTGGAAATTATTTTGATAAATGGAATTTTTGTTTTAACTTTTTGGTCTTGAAACACTGTACAGTATTGTGAACGAGTCAAGCCAGTTATCTTTGGTTGCAAATTACTTAGCTAAAATTAATCCCACCTTGCTGTGATCAAAGTGTCACATGTTCTTAGTTAGTGCACCTCAATTCAATTTTCCAAAAAGATCAGGTCGGACACTACTCTGAGTTATTTACAGAAGCTCAAGAATTGCCACCAAGAGCAAGCACTAGGCAACACAGGCAAGGAAAAACTTCCTTGCCTGCAATGAAAGGCTCCAGAATCTTTACAGCCTTTCAGATTAAGAACAAATCACACATTTGAAATAACTGGAAATCTTATTGGTAACCCTATAAAAAATTCAAAAACAAAAATGTTCCAACTGGAAGCTGAATTGCCACTAAAGGAAATGCCAAAAATCTCACAATTCTTTCTCATCACCTTGAGAATGTCTTGCAGTATCGTAATAGCAGTATGATGGTGTCTGGATGTCAGTCAATGGGCGGAACCTGGGAAATTCAAAGCAACCAATCATAGTACCTGATTCAATCAAATACTTTTTGCTAAAACTCCAGCCCTGTGGCATAATTGGACACAAGTGCAGAGAAGTCAAAGCACAGGTCTCATCTGATTGAGATCTTGAAGCAGGGCCTATGCAAATTGATGATCCCAAGCCAAAGTTTAAGAATAAAAAAAAAAAAGTAACTATGACAAAGGTATTGACATACCATCCAACACTGTATGTATGTATGTATGTATGTATGTATGTATGTATGTATGTATGT